CGACGTGTTTTGATTTTGAAACGTGCAGTGCTCATGTTTATTCAACGAAGTCAAACGGCACAAATAAATCAATGTATGGGAAACTGGTAATGTATATCGAAATATCGGAAATGTGTTTAAAAATCATATCACCGTTATTGAAAAAAATTATATCGCGATACATATTGATATTGAATTATTGTCCAGCCCTACATCAAACCATTGTTTACGGCTTCACAAGATGTTAACTGGTGGACTGGAGTCATTTGGATTACTTGCAGATTATGTTTCTATCAACTGATGGACTTACATTCTAACGGCACCCATTCACTGCAGAGGACCCATTTGTGAGCAAGTGATGTAATTCTAAATTTCTCTAAATCTGTTCTGATGAAGAAACAAATTCATTTACATTTTGGATGGCCTAAGGGTGAGCAAATTTTCATTATTGGGTGAGCTATTCCTTGTCCACATCTATTAATGTTCATTAAAGTAATCATATTATTACTGTAATATCACTTTTACTAAGCTAAAAGTGTTTTGAGCTTCATTAGGTTTTTTTCTCAATTTCTGTGAAACATCACAGGTCTACAGCACATCGAGCAGGACGAAAGAGTATCATTGGGTCTCAACGGGAACCTGTACTTCTCAAATGCCATTGAGACCGACAGTCGCAGAGATTACTGCTGCTTTGCTGCCTTCCCACGCATTCGAACCATCGTTCAGAAAACGGCCATGTCTGTTGTGGTCAAAAGCAGTACGTTGAAATACTCATTTCAAGAGTTTGATTGCATAACATGATCATTTCTTTACATGACCAGCATCGATTTCAGACATGTCGTGTCATGTGCATCTGATACATCCCCCCAGTTTCTCATGTAGTCAATCTCCAAGCACTTGCTGGACTTCAGCAAATCAGCTTGGTAGATATTGATGCTTCCTGTGCTTTCGTGATACTTCATGTGAAGACTTGTTGGTGTATTTCATATCCATAGTATCTGTTGTTTTAGCTGTTATTGCATTTGCCACACATATTTTATTTGTCTCCATTTCTTCATCCAAGACAAGTTAATGAAGGACTCAGACTCTGATAGCGGCAGAGGTTATGGTGAGTGACATTCATTAGGGATGCTACATGGGCGTAGAGCAGCTTCTTTGTTTTTAATTAGTTTTGATTAATTATTTCATTCCATGCCACATCATACTTGCCTACTCTTTAGCCTAGATTTGCAAATCGCAAAGGTTTTTTGTAATCAACTGATGGGAATAATTCATAGGTTCATCCATGACTCATTCTCTGTATTGGATCAGAAGTGTGTTATTTTTTGTATGTTAAAACAATTTCTTGAATCATTCATTAATATAAAACAGTAGTTTAGCAATTTTTTATATTATATTATATTATATTATATTATATATTTTTCATGCATAATCTTTTCACTGTTATAAAGCAAACTCTCTCTTGGAGAGGAAGCCCAGTCTACTGACGCCCACAGGAAAGGAGTCACATACATATCTGGTGAAAGGCGAAGATCTTCATTTGGAGTGTATTGCAGAGGGCTTGTAAGTGTCATTGTCTAATTTGTTTGATTGTTAATCCAATTAGGAGCTTGACATTCATTTCAATTATACCACTTCAAATGCTTTGAAATCTAGTGGGAATGTTTAAATGATTATTTTTGTAAAAAAATGCAATTAAGTATAAATACTTATAATACAAATTATTGAATAGTTCACTAAAACTGTATTAATAGACTTTAAAATGTTTTGATTGTTTCTGTCTTTCAGCCCCACACCAAAGGTGGAGTGGGTAAAAATAGGTTTCCACAAGCTTCCGGAAAGGGCCGTGGTGGAGAGTCATGGCAAGTTGCTTACTATTGAGATGGTGAATGAGGAGGATGAAGGGAAATATATGTGCAGAGCCAAAAATCCCCATGGAGAGATTGTGCATTATTTTCATGTTACAGTAGAAGGTGAGTCACATTATTGATCACATTAATCTCATAATCTAACCACAGTAAATGTGCCAGTGTTGCTTTATTAATGGTTTCAATATCATGTCTGTATTTAAAGTCACTCTTTGTGTTTAAAGAGCGCCATCTTCTGTTCAAATACAAAGTGTGCTTGCAGGACTAATTCGTGATATGTAGATATACCCCTGGTTTCACAGACAATGCTTAAGCCCAGACTAAAAGTCTGAGCTGTTTCAACTGAAAGAAACTTGCACTGATTGATCTTAAAATATGTCAGTGCCTTTGTTTTGTGTCAAGATGCACACCAGTAATGTTTTTTTTTCTAAGGCATGTTTATTAAAATTACGTTAATGTCCCAAATGAGCTATGGCCTAATCTTGGCTTAGTCTAAACCCTGTCTGTGAAACCAGGCCATAGAGTCCTAACATAATACAAGGACATAGTGATAATTTTAGGGATTTTAAATAATAATTTTCAGGTTATCAAGAGAACAATTATGCATACATATGACAGATTACCATTCATAGTTGATAGCAGATAACCTTATATTTAGTGTTTCTGTATTTTCATCACATACAGTGTCTGTATTTTTTCCAATATAGACCTTAGTCAGGGTAAACACCTTATTGAATTTAACACAGAAAAAACGAGACCTCTAAGGGATAGATATATCTATATTTTCAAGCAACAAGAAAGGTTAGGCCACATGACTTCCACACACACCATCTTGACCTTTAACAACTGTTTGTGTTCAAACATCGGTGACTATTAGGAAATATCTGGCTGCTGAATGCCACAATTGACTAATCAGAATTATGTCATGTGTATAATATGTGACTTGATTCTTCTGCATGAACAGAGCCTCCTGAGTTTGAGATTGAACCTCAGAGCCAACTGGTGATGATTGGAGCTGATGTGGTGATCAAGTGTGTTGTGAAAGCAAATCCTCAACCTAGTGTTGTATGGAGGGTCAACGGCCGACTGCTGAACGGTAAACATTCCTAATTCCTGTTTCAAATAACTGAAAAATTATGATTATACTGATTTCAAATTAGTGTGCCAACTGACTTCAAAATAGCTTTCTAAATGGCCTATCAAATAATGCCATAATGTTTGTTAATGAAAATTACAATTAGGTGTCACCAATTTTTCTGTTTGTGTAAATGGGTGTAATTGCATTTAATTAATCTATTTACTTAGGATGGTCATTTTACAGTAATAATTTTTATAAAGGTGTGTGATTAGGAGCACAGTGTGGTATACAATTGCATCCTGCCATACTGTACTTTTACTAATCATTTAACCCATATTTTCTATTTTTCTATTTCAGAGGTCCCAACATCCAATAGGAAGGTCTTAAAAGATGGCACCATTTCCATCCACAACGCAAAGCCCGAAAACAGTGCTGTTTACCAGTGTGAGGCCACAAACAGACAAAGTTGCTTACTATTGAGATGGTGAATGAGGAGGATGAAGGGAAATATATGTGCAGAGCCAAAAATCCCCATGGAGAGATTGTGCATTATTTTCATGTTACAGTAGAAGGTGAGTCACATTATTGATCACATTAATCTCATAATCTAACCACAGTAAATGTGCCAGTGTTGCTTTATTAATGGTTTCAATATCATGTCTGTATTTAAAGTCACTCTTTGTGTTTAAAGAGCGCCATCTTCTGTTCAAATACAAAGTGTGCTTGCAGGACTAATTCGTGATATGTAGATATACCCCTGGTTTCACAGACAATGCTTAAGCCCAGACTAAAAGTCTGAGCTGTTTCAACTGAAAGAAACTTGCACTGATTGATCTTAAAATATGTCAGTGCCTTTGTTTTGTGTCAAGATGCACACCAGTAATGTTTTTTTTTCTAAGGCATGTTTATTAAAATTACGTTAATGTCCCAAATGAGCTATGGCCTAATCTTGGCTTAGTCTAAACCCTGTCTGTGAAACCAGGCCATAGAGTCCTAACATAATACAAGGACATAGTGATAATTTTAGGGATTTTAAATAATAATTTTCAGGTTATCAAGAGAACAATTATGCATACATATGACAGATTACCATTCATAGTTGATAGCAGATAACCTTATATTTAGTGTTTCTGTATTTTCATCACATACAGTGTCTGTATTTTTTCCAATATAGACCTTAGTCAGGGTAAACACCTTATTGAATTTAACACAGAAAAAACGAGACCTCTAAGGGATAGATATATCTATATTTTCAAGCAACAAGAAAGGTTAGGCCACATGACTTCCACACACACCATCTTGACCTTTAACAACTGTTTGTGTTCAAACATCGGTGACTATTAGGAAATATCTGGCTGCTGAATGCCACAATTGACTAATCAGAATTATGTCATGTGTATAATATGTGACTTGATTCTTCTGCATGAACAGAGCCTCCTGAGTTTGAGATTGAACCTCAGAGCCAACTGGTGATGATTGGAGCTGATGTGGTGATCAAGTGTGTTGTGAAAGCAAATCCTCAACCTAGTGTTGTATGGAGGGTCAACGGCCGACTGCTGAACGGTAAACATTCCTAATTCCTGTTTCAAATAACTGAAAAATTATGATTATACTGATTTCAAATTAGTGTGCCAACTGACTTCAAAATAGCTTTCTAAATAGCTTTCAATTTTTCTGTTTGTGTAAATGGGTGTAATTGCATTTAATTAATCTATTTACTTAGGATGGTCATTTTACAGTAATAATTTTTATAAAGGTGTGTGATTAGGAGCACAGTGTGGTATACAATTGCATCCTGCCATACTGTACTTTTACTAATCATTTAACCCATATTTTCTATTTTTCTATTTCAGAGGTCCCAACATCCAATAGGAAGGTCTTAAAAGATGGCACCATTTCCATCCACAACGCAAAGCCCGAAAACAGTGCTGTTTACCAGTGTGAGGCCACAAACAGACACGGAACCATCCTAGCCAATGCCAACATCATGATTATGAGTACGTAAACTGTACACGGCTGTAACGGATTTGCATTCATTCATGAATTAAATATGCTGTCTTACCAGTTTGAGATAAAAAAATAAAAAAATTCTGCTGATTTGCAAAAGGCCTAATATTACTTAACTTTATGATGCAAAGTTCGAAAAATAAGAATGGAGATTTTTTTTTCAAACGATATATATATATGTATCAGCTTTAATGCACTTATCAAAATAACAAAAACAATCAAATGCTGATTTTAATGACAAAAAGAAATATTAAAAATTTGTAATTTAAGTAGTGGAAAATGTGATAATCAGGATTAGGCATAAAATGTCTTCAGAATCATCCATGCATGTGAAAATCAGCTGAGAACAGAAGAAATAGTTGTAACCTCGCTAGGAATCATGTCTTTGTGGCAGTTTTTCTGGTTAAGGTAAGGGATAGTACAAGACTTCTTCTCATAACGAATGGTTGTCAAAAGCAAAAATGCCACAAAATGCACATATTTTGTGAGAAAGTGTAACATGCTTGATTGAGTAAACCAGGCACTATTTCCCAAAATTAGTAAGAAACAGTATTGGATTTTATTAGCAAATTTGATATAGGGCGGTGTCTCCACCCTTTTAAAGAGAGACCCGTGGCATTATTCGTTTCAGAAGTGCATTCTTATGGAATACTTTTGGTTTCATTCACTCTTGGCCAAACAAAAATCTCACAAAAACACCATGGTGTTGGCTGGCAGTGAACAAGCATTTGCTTTTTTAGTTGGTGTGGACAGAGCCATAAGCAGCAGTGTGATAGGGACAGTGGACAGCCCTTTGGTTTGTTCAGCGATTGGAATGTCCTCATGATAGCACACAGGCTTTAGGGCGGAGCTCTTCTGTCAGTTCTGATCTCCAGACACACTCTCCCTCAGGCGGCGAGACGCTTTTATGTGTGAACAACTTTGCCTTCCTCCATTCATATTCAGTTGCTAGAACCAAAGCATGTTTAATTTGTGAGATAAAATAAGCTGCTAAGGATCCTCACTTTCAAAAAAAAATTAGAAACGGAAAAATGCAATTTAATAAAGAATCGGAAAAACATATCTCAACTCTCTCTCCGTAACCCTGCAAACCCGCTTAACTCCCCTGATAGAGAGCAGGGATCTGCTTTTCCTAAGGACAAGGACTTTTTTACTGAACTGATAACAATGTGCATCACAAGACAAGAGATAAAGAGATTAATCCAATCGTGTTTTGTCATGTTTAATGGTGCAATGCTGATAACTCTCTCCCCAGACATCCAGCCCCTGATCTTAACAGAAAACAATCTGCAATATATGGCAGTGGAGGGGGAAGGTGTGGTCATGCACTGTAAGGTCTTCAGATTCTCTCTCCGTAACCCTGCAAACCCGCTTAACTCCCCTGATAGAGCAGGGATCTGCTTTTCCTAAGGACAAGGACTTTTTTACTGAACTGATAACAATGTGCATCACAAGACAAGAGATAAAGGGATTAATCCAATCGTGTTTTGTCATGTTTAATGGTGCAATGCTGATAACTCTCTCCCCAGACATCCAGCCCCTGATCTTAACAGAAAACAATCTGCAATATATGGCAGTGGAGGGGAAAGGTGTGGTCATGCACTGTAAGGTCTTCAGCTCACCAACATCCAGCATTACATGGTGAGTAGAGCCTGCTGTAGTGGATGTATTTGCACAGGCCGGCAGAGGGCAGCACTGCTCTACAGGTGTTAGTGCTGTAGCGATAGAGTGTCTTTAATGTGGTTTGGCGCTGGTAAAGCAGTTTACTCAAGGGTGGGCCCTCAGGCTGTGTTCAGCACTGTGATAATGAGGTAAACTACTCATGTGGATCTGTAAGTATGCTACTGTTAAGTTAATGCAATAACAGCAGAAGTGTTGACTGTGGTGGCACATAAGAGAAAGCAAACAGAGTATTTTATTGAATTCATAAAATCTACACTATCGTTCAAAAATTTAGGGTTGGTAAGATTTTTTAATGTTTGTAAAATAAGTCTCTTATGTTAATCAAGGCTGGATTTATTTGATAAAAAAAACTATTATGAAATATTATTACAATTAAAATAAGTTTTCTATTTGAATGTAATTTATTCCTGAATGTTCAGCAGATTTGATACAGTGGAAACCATTTTTTTCAATCCAAAATAACAGCATTTATTTAAAATAAAAATCTTTTGTAACCTTATAAATATCTTTACTGTCACTTTTAAACAATTTAAAGTGTCCTTGCTGAGAAAAAGTTTTATTATTTATTTAAAATCTTACTGATCTTAAACTTTTCAACGGCAGTATTTCTAAAAAAAATAAAATTAATGTTTTATTTTAAAAGTTCTGTGCCTTACACACTAAACAGAGGTAAATCTATTAAATAATGTAAGTTTTGTATCCTGTGACTTATATTTTAGTAAAAAGTAGCAAAAATGACCTGCAACCTTTTTAGTCTATTTGGTTTACATGATTTTAGGTGATGTGTTTTTGTTTTTTTTGTGGTGATTTCTTATATTTCAGAAAGACATGCGAACACTATTATGCACACAGTTGATGCTGTTTTCTGAAAATGACCCAGTTGGTTTATGGTTGCACAGGAGTAAAACTGACAGTGCCAATTCAGTGGAAGGAGAAAGGTTTTCTGTTCATAAGAATGGTTCGCTGGAGATCCACAACGTGATGAAAGAGGACATGGGGGAGTATTCTTGTTTTGCTCAAAACACTGAGGGCAAAGTTGCCATTGCTGCAACACTTGAAGTCAAAGGTATGAGAAACAGATACTCTTTTGTAAATCAGTCAAGTTCAAGGGGTTTACAAGATTCAGAAAATCAATCAATTTAGTTAATCCATATAATCCAAAATGACTTTTGTTTTCCTTGTCAGATCCCACCAGAATAGTCGATCCTCCTCATGATTTGCGGGTTTTGGCCAGAACTACTATCCAGTTTTCATGCCAGGCAGAGTTTGATCCCTCCATTGGTGATGACTTTGAGATCCTCTGGGAAAAAGATGGCATGGCCCTCAACGCCAGCGAGAACACACGGTGAGATACAACAGGATGTCATTATTCTACAGTAGTGAATGTCAGAGCTGTCTAATCAGTGTCTTTGCTGGTGTCTGTAGATATATCCTGGACGATGGAGTGCTTGAAATCATTAATGTGAGCTTTGGAGACCAGGGCTTTTATGCCTGTGTGGCCAGAACACCAGTCGACCAGGACATGGCGGTTGCACAGCTTTCAGTTGTGGGTGAGTTATGTGCTTTCGGTCTTTATTGTTTAGGAAAGTAAATATAGACAGACGTTTTGAGGGCTGAATTGGGTTCAGCGCACGACACAGGCGGGGTTTGGCTACCTGCTGCGCCACAGCTGGAATTATATACTTAATAAGACAGCACCACATAGTATTTGTACAAATAAACTAGCTGGAGACATGACCTGGCAGGCAGTGCATGAGCTCTGTCATGTTTGAAACCAGCTGGAGTCATTTCCCAGACCCATCCTCCCTCTTCTCCCTATCATTTTCTTTATTTCTCCTACTGTCTCCAAAATATCTATAAAATGGCAACAAAAACAAAAAAAGCAACAATATCATGTAATGAATCTGATTGAACTCGAGATACTTAATCGATTGACAGCCCTAAATAAAGTTTGTTGTTTCCTTAGATGTTCCTGATCCACCAGAGGATGTGATCCTTTCAGAACATAATGGCAGAAGTGTGAAACTGCAGTGGATTCCAGGAGATGACCATAACAGCTCCATTACAGGTAACATAGTCTTAACACCCTTATTGTCCATATACTAGGGGTTGAACGACTTCTGATTTTTTAAAGTCGACTTTTATGTGATGAAAGTCGAGTCGAAGTCGACTAGTCGCTGATGACGTCATTAATGAACAATGTGTGCGCGATCTGCGCGTGATGTACGAGCTATGTGTGTGCGTTACAGTGCAGCAGTGCATTAGATTAGAACGGCGATTAATTTACCTACCTGTACAATAAGCGGTTTAAAGCATTGAAGTCGACTAGTCGAATAGTCGGTGCAGCCCCTACCATATACTGTATTATAAATATCAATTTGGATGCACTGGGTACAGATTATAGACTAGGACTTGCACAGCCTCTTGGTTTTACTTGTTTGGCCAATTTTTACCTTATATAAATGACTCAACATATGCTAATTACACTACCGTTCAAAACTTTGGGGTTTGTAATTTTTTTATGTTTATGAAGTCTCTTATGCTCATCAAGGATGCATTTATTAGATCAAAAATACTGTAAAAACAATACTATAGTGAAATATTATTTCAATTTAAAATAAGTATTTTCTGTTTTAACATATTGTAAAGAGTAATTTATTCCTGTGACAGCAAAGCTAAATTTTCATCAGTCATTGCTCCAGTCTTCAGTGTCACATGATCTATTAGAAATCATTCTAATATGCTGATTTGATGCTCAAGAAATCAAAATTTGTTTTCTGTTTCCTGTGTTTTTTCAGGATTTTATGACGAACACAAAGTTCAACAGAAAAGATTTTATTTTAAATAGAAATATTTTATGACATTATGAATGTTTTACTCTCACTTTTTTTTCTTTCTGAATAAACGTATAATTTTCTTTCAAAACAACAACAACAAAATCTTACTGACCCCAAATTTTTTTAATGGTAGTGTAAAATGTAATTAATTTTTCATGTAAATTTGAGGCGTATCATACAAAATTAATGTCACACAGCTACACTGGGATGCAGTTTACTGACAGATTAATTTTGCTCATGCACTGTAAAAGAGCAGAAGTTTTGATACTGTTACTGTAGGGTCTGTTTTCTACCTGATCTAACAACAATTTTCATTGGTGTAACCTAATGTCGTCAGTTTAAATCAGTCAATATAAAGAATATTTCCTGAGTAAAGCCACTTTATTAAAATGTGTTGACTCCAGTTCTAATTTTAAACTTTGTGCAGAGTTTGTTATAGAGTTTGAGGAAAGCCAACATGAGCCGGGCAGCTGGAAGGAGATGATGAGAGTACCGGGAAACCATCACTTCGCTCTGCTGAATCTTCACGGACACGTAGACTACCGATTTAGAGTCTCCGCCACCAATGAGGTGGGAAGAGGTCAGCCAAGCCAGGCCACTGAAAGATACAAAACTCCAGCATCAGGTATCTATGAGCTTTCCTACTGTTTCTCCTAACCATGCCGCCTTTACAGATAGCAGTGAGGCCAACTTCATCGCCTACTGAACTTTAAAATATTCAAACTTGTGAGATAATTGATTTTCCCTGTAAATTTGAGGCGTATCATACAAAATTAATGTCACACAGCTACACTGGGATGCAGTTTACTGACAGATTAATTTTGCTCATGCACTGTAAAAGAGCAGAAGTTTTGATACTGTTACTGTAGGGTCTGTTTTCTACCTGATCTAACATCAATTTTCATTGGTGTTAACCTAATGTAGTCAGTTTAAATCAGTCAATATAAAGAATATTTCCTGAGTAAAGCCACTTTATTAAAATGTGTTGACTCCAGTTCTAATTTTAAACTTTGTGCAGAGTTTGTTATAGAGTTTGAGGAAAGCCAACATGAGCCGGGCAGCTGGAAGGAGATGATGAGAGTACCGGGAAACCATCACTTCGCTCTGCTGAATCTTCACGGACACGTAGACTACCGATTTAGAGTCTCCGCCACCAATGAGGTGGGAAGAGGTCAGCCAAGCCAGGCCACTGAAAGATACAAAACTCCAGCATCAGGTATCTATGAGCTCTCCTACTGTTTCTCCTAACCACGTCACCTTTATATATAGCAGTGAGGCCAACTTCATCACCTACTGAATTTTAAAACATTCAAACTTGTGAGATAATTGATTTTCCCTGTCGTTTAAGCTCCAGTCTAAAAAGTGCATATTTCACAGGCCATTTTTCTTTCTTCCACTAACAATTTAATCTCCAACAAAATCCATATTTCTGCTCTTTCCAAAGCACCCGACAAGAACCCAGAAAATATCAAGATCGAAGGTCATTTGCCACATGAAATGGATATCAACTGGGAGGTACGATGCTAAACGTTCAGTTCCAATAGTCTTCAGGAATATCTAACGTTCAAAGCACTGCAAAGGCTGCACAGATAAAGAAGAGCTCTCAAATACAGAATTTCATTTAGTTCTCAGAGGGGGAGTGCAAACTAACAGTGTCAGTTGTTAGGTTCCAATTATCGATAAGCGTATTTCCCGAGATAGCAGTTTTTGCATAGCAAAACACGACTATCTTTATTGCCATGCTGTTGGGAAAGTTACAAAGCCCTGCTGAAATGGATCTCTCTGGATACAGGTTCCCATCAAAAGGAGCCCAGAGTCAGTCTTTGATTAAAAAGTAAAAGGAACAGGATACATAAATTAAGATTTTCACATAAAGGTGAATGTCTTTTACAGTTTCTGAGCTATTACTTGGCCACCTTTTCATACTAATGCACCTACTTTATAAAATTGTGAGGAATCTCATTGTTAATGGTGGATGTTAATGAATAATTGCATTTTTGTTCGGTCTTTTGCTGCAAGATGATTGTAAAATCATAGTTAGCTGCTGTACCTTAGAGCTTTGTTAATAAAAGTTAATTGTTATAATGCTTGACATCATGATAAACCGTTGGCAATTAACCAGGTATATAAGCACTGAACATTCTGCAGAAGTCACCATAATAATAGACATGCATGGGAAAAAAAAGAATTATAAAATTAAAACAAATAATGTGAAAAAATGTAAAAAAAAAAATAATAATAATTAAAAAATTAAAAAATACTATCGTTCAAAAGTTTAGGGAATATCAACAAAGGAAATGTTCCTTGAGCAAAATCAGCATATTAAATATGATTTCTGAAAGATTGTCTAACACTAAAGACTGGAGTAATGGCTGCTGAAAAATTCAACTTTGCCATCACAGATATAAATTACATTTTCAAATTTATTAAAATGGAATAGTAATTTTAAATTGTAATACTATTTCATTACTGTTTTTACTGTATTTTGGTGAGCATAAGAAATGTCTATCAAAAACATTACCAACCTCAAACTTATAAAGAGTAATAACTGTAACATATTATTTCACATGCTTATTTCTCAGACATAATTGAGAAAACAAAGCATGAATATACAGTTCTATATGCAGGTATCTACTGTAGCTACTAACTTGCTACTAACCATCTTGAGCAAACCATCTCTAATTCTTCCTCAGAAGTGCTCATTATTTAAACTCAAACTGATAAACGTGCCCCCCCCTTACTCTTGGAAACTGTGTAAAACCAGCCAGTCTAATTGCAAATGTTGATTTCTGCCAGTGTTTGCCATTTTTTTGTGTGCAATATTCATCATACGGTCAGCAACACATGGTCCGTGAGCGTGCACTGAGGATGAGACAATAAAAACACCAAGTGTTTGAGAACTAAATGCTATTTCCTTTGATTTTCTGTTTCTGTCAACTGACTGAGCTCTTTCGTTCTCCTGTCACAGCCACTGTCACCTATTGAACACAACGGGCCTGGTCTGGAGTACAAAGTAAGCTACAGAAGACAAGGCACTGGAGAGGACTGGATGGAGCACATGGTGAAGAGGCACTCGTTCGTTGTTAAAAACACCCCAACGTTCGTCCTTTACGAGATCAAAATTCAGGCCAAGAACCATGCGGGCTGGGGTCCAGACCCTGAAATAATCACAGCGTACTCAGGAGAGGATTGTAAGTAGGAGCAACCTCCATTGTGTCTGAGCTGTGGAGATGAGCATGCATTCAAATAAGCCAATACCATTGACATTTCACTCACTGTCAAAGCATTGTGCATGTTTACCTTTGAGAGCATACAAAGCAGGTGAAGATTTTGGAACGCTGATGAAATACCATCTTGCCTTTACACAGCATCCAAACAGTAGCGCTGATATGCCGATTTGTTGTGCCTTATTGAGGATATTAAATTGCACAAGCGGGAACGATTTCCTCACTCAGAGTCTTTGTAGACTAACAAATGAAATGTTATCATGGCTATGAGCTATTTACATTTGTGGCTATAATTATTCTTCTGCCTTCAGTTTTCTTTTGGAGTTGCCCTCCCGATGTTATCTCAGGTCACTACGTCTCTGTGCAGTACGATTAGTTTAGTCCCCTTTTCTTTCTCAGTCTCTCCCTCTTTTTTATTTCTCTCTTATCTTAGTGCATATTTGCCAGTGTTGAGAGTACCTAGCTAAAAGTAGCGAATGAATGCTAAATTGCTGTTTGTTTGTCTGCAGCTTTAAAGCCGAGCAAGCTGATGGAATGAAAGTATGATTCATTCTAGTGAATCAGTTCATTTTGAAGGTTCATGTGAAACAAAGATTCAGAAATTAGTCACCTGTTTGAATCCCTGCATGGCAGAGATTTATCTTTTCAGATTCCTTAATTGGTCCGTTAACGATTCTTTTAATAGTTTTAAAGAGATTTTAAAGAGAAAAGAAAAGAAAAGAAAATTCTGTCATCATTTTCTCAACGTCATGTCATTACAAACCTGTATGCATTTGTTTTCTTCTGCAGAACACAAAATAAGTTATTTTGAAGAATGTTGCCAACCAAACAGTTTTGATTCCCATTGATTAGCATTGATTTTTATAGAAATTCAGTAAGAGTATATTTGTGATATTAACACTCATGACTGCTCAAAAAAGGTGACATTTATGAAACCTAACATATAAATTTTTTAACAAAACAACATAACTATTATTCTAGAATGTTCAAGTGCTGAATGTAATAAATATGTTTACTTACTGTATCTATATAACAGTCATGTATATAAAACAGTCATGTTGAAACCTGGGTCAAAATGGACCCAAACGCTAAAAGTTGAAATGGTGATATTTTAAAAACATACATTAAATGAAGTGTATTTTGATAGTATTTACACAAGTTTGGTTCCCATACTAAAAACTATGCATTTTTTCAAAACATACCCAAATGCATTATGAGGGTTTTAATATATTGCATAAGGGCTGTTAATAATACAGTGTTTAAAAAGTGGATCTTGGCTCCAACCCTAATAGTTATATAGTTATAATTTAAAAATATATTGCGTCCATCAGTGTAGCTAGCTTAATTATAGGATATATGTTTTAATGTTTTAATATATATATATATATATATATATTTGTATGTGTGTGTGTGTTTTAATTTATATGTAGCTTAGCTTTGCAGGGTAGAGTTTCGATGTTGCTTCCCCAACACTGGTGTTTACAAGGATTAATTCCATTATAATCAAATCTCTTCCCATTAGCAAGTGTCATGGTGTCAGTGAGATTGTGAGATTACTTAAATTGTGTATGGTAAATCACTGTAGTATAGGCAATTTGCCAAGTGTTTGATAACGAAATGTAGTTACAAAGCATAAAAACAATATTATAGTCCATAACTCCACATAAACAACTATTACCCCCACCACAGTTTTTCCCATGATTACCCACAAAATTACACCACATTTCTTGGTCCTTATTTCATGGATATAGCTGAATCTAATTCACTGGCATTATCTTGATTTAGGAACAGTGTAATTTGAAGGCAGCTATATAGAGCTATTTGTAATATTTAATTTGCATGTTATTCGTCCATAGTCCCCACAGCCGCTCCAGAGGATGTAGCCGTAGAAGTGATGAACAACACCATGGTGAAGGTCAGATGGGACCATGTTCACAAGGACAAACTCAATGGACATCTGGGGGGCTACAGGGTAATTCCGCACCAACATGTGTTTTGCTTTGTAGCCATGGTTTAAAGGCCAGTGACCCCTTTTTTTACCTCGAAGCTCCTCTTGTTTCCCAGCAAGCTGTCACAGCTATCCACATGTATTAATCGATGGTGGTATTTTACTCATCAGCTGTATTTCACTACCCATGGACTAATCTAACCTCATGCACTTACAGATAAGCTTTTGGAGGCTCCGTAGTCTGCTGTACTCAAAGAAAACGCATGGTGACAAACACACATTGACATTCTCAGGCGAGAGGAACCATGCGGTGGTCACAGGGCTTAAGCCGTTCTCTGAATACAGCCTCATTGTCATGGCCTTTAACAGCAGAGGAAACGGGCCTGGCAGTCATCCGGTCAGCTTCAAAACACCTGAGGGAGGTGAGTGAGGATAGGACGTGTGTGAACATAATACATTTGGTTTTGTGAGTTAAGGCTTTTGCACAGATTTTTCCCCCCGATTTGCAGTCTGGATGAGTAGACGCTAGTTGATGAAAGTCAGAGCCAGTCTGCGGGTTTTGGGCAGTTGGATTTGACAGATTTCACAGAATATCACATCATGTACTTTAAACACAGACTCTGATTTTTTTAGCTTCAGACTATCTGTCCAGTTGAAGCATATCGAATACGTTTGATATTTAGAGCCTACTTTAGAACACACATTGTTTTCATTTGTCATGTTTCTGTGTGAGTTTATTGTTTTTGAAACAACTTTAAAATCTGGTAGTGTGTAATCCTCAGTCATTTAGTGTACAGTATAATGCCCAGTTGTTCTATGTAACCAGTTCCAAGTCAGCAAGTGTATGATGCCTAGTGTTAAGTTAAAATATGTTCCAATTTTAAAAGTCGAGTAGTGTGTCCAGCCTTTAGTTTACCTTAAAAGACATGCTATGTTCCAATTTGCATACTATACATCCTAAATAGTATTCAAAATTAGAATTAGTGTGTCCCAAATCGTTGTATGTTGCAAATGCATGCTCACTCTAATGGCTAATATTAGAACTACAATTAAGTATAAAGAGTGTTAAAAATCATGTCAGATGTGTGAGACTGATGGTTAAGTAGAGATGTTTAGATGAAGGGGTTTGAGTGATTAATAATCAATATATAACATAATAATAAAAAATAACATCTGCAACAAGATTGTGAACATTTATAAAGATACGTTTGGTCATTAACTTGCGTCATGCACAAGTTATTGACTGGCATATCAACATGCTACATAATTTTTTCTCCAAAATGGTAGGAAATTAAATTATTTATAAAGATACGTTTGGTCATTAACTTGTGTCATGCACGTTACTGACTGCCAGATCAACATGCTACTTAATTTTTCTCCAATATGGTAGGAAATTAAATGAAATTAAATATGGAAGATGTTGACTGTGACAAGATGACTGACAGGGCAGTTTAAATGGTAACAGGATGCACCTAACAAAGCGACAGTGAGGTCCGTTAAAGACGCAATTATGACAAAGTAGTATTTCCCAAATGTTGCATGCTCTTCTGCTAACACACTCAAAATTAAATATTTGTTTTCTTCACAAAAAGAGTACATATTTTTAGAGCATAGTATAAGTAGGTTAATTGGGATGCAGCAGTTGACTCTGGTTTGTCATGTGACCATTCTAGTTCACATGTCAAGTGACTAGAATATTTGGAAACAAGTTTGAATACTTGGAAATGCAAATGAGATGTGGTACCTTTGATGTAGGGGAAGAAAGAAAGTCACAAAGTTTTGGAATGCACAAATTAATAATAATGACCATTTTTGTGTGAAACGTTCCTTTAAATTATTAATATATCTGTCAACTCTTTCTTTCATTCCCTACCTTCAGTTCCTGGTCAAGTATCTGCTTTCAGTGTTACAAACATCCAGAAACACAAGGTCACCTTGACCTGGTCTCCTCCGGTTGACGCAAATGGACTCATAATTGGCTACATCCTCCAATATCAGCTAAGTATGTGAACATTGCATTTCTAATTTGCTCATAACCTTTGCTATAAACGTCGGCATCTTGCTGTGAGGGTTATGTGCTGGGGTTTGAGTAAACAGCTTTTATTTCTGATATTCATTTTTTACGTGGCCCATGACACAGCAGCATTATTGGTCATTACAGTGATTCTACAGTGAAACTACACACCACTAGATTTGCATTGAATGTTTTTAGACTCAGTTCATGTCATTTAAAGTGCCAGAGCGTACAGAAGGTAATTTTTTATGGCACAGAGAGCATAAAAAAGCTATTGCCCTGTGTCAACATGTTACCTGTGATGCAGTTGAGGATTTGGACATACAAAAACAGCAAAGTTCTCTTTGATTATTCATGTCTCATTACATCGAGTGATGCCTACGTCTCACCACTAGGAGATATTGTTGTGCCACCTACCTTAGGGTTGGCAGCTGCATCTTATATTCAACAGAGACTTCAGTGTTATGAACATAACTGCACAGGACCTCAATAAGACACAGTTGTATATTTGCTAAATGATTTATGGAAAACAATTACTTTGACTTGTTAAAGTTGCCTCACTCAATTTGCTTATTTTTATTATACATGTAGATATATCAAATTGAAGGCACACTAGTGAATTAAACAGCTATTTACTGCATGCTAATAGAGTATGCTTTGGTTTTAATTAGGATTTACAGTGAGAAACACTGCTGATTACATAAATGTAGAAGGTTAACAATGCACATCGTACTAGTAGTTAAGTGATGCATTATAAGGAAAAGCAAAACATTGTGAAGCATATCTGTAAATATCAAGGGATAAAGATTTTGATATTAAAATGTAATGGTAAAATTAAGAATCATTGTAGCCAACCATATAAAAATACTTTTTGACCAATCAGAAGTCACTGTAAACTGGTTGCATGCAAGCATCAGCAGCACTCAACACTGAAAAAATTTAAGGTAAGTGGTTGCAATCAAATTATTTTAGCTACATTTAAATAAACAAATTTAGTTGACTAACTTTCAACATATTTTTTTTATTAAATGTAGCTAAAATAAATTGTTTGCAACCACTTACCTTAAAATAATTTAGTATCATTTTTTTCAGTGAAGCCTGGTTAATGCTATGAGTTTTAATTAGTATTTTTAATTTATTTTCCAGTTAAAATATAAAAAATTCTTGAAACAAGAAATCAACTATATATGTAATATTAAAAAAAGAAAAAGAAAGAACAATTAAAAGAAAAAAATTATTGAAAAATCTTGTTTTGAAAGATATTTTAATTACAAAATTTGAAGAAAAAAAAAAAAAAATATATATATATATATATATATATATATAAAGAATATTATTGCATGTTCCTACATAAAGTAGACTACTGGGTGAACAACCACATGAAATTAATATTAATATCAATATTTAATAATATTAATATTAAAGTTTTACATTGTGCCCGCCACTTTTCAGATTGCGTTTATGCCCCTAGGGAAAATGTTTTAGAAAAATTGGTTTCCATTAATTTTCCAAGAAATATAAGGTCTGCTCATTGTCTGGTCCAGAGATTGCCAAGCTTTTTTTGTTAGCCAAACTCCTTTGGCCTAAAATATTTACTTGAAGTAACCCCTGGGATTTTAAGTTAATATTTAAATAATTTAAGTTCTCTTATGTCGCGTAGTGGTCACATGACATGCAGGTTAACAAAACAAAATATTTAAGTATTTTTAGTAAGCATTTTATTTTGATTTGTTTTTATTTTAAATGTATTTACTTAATTTTATATTTTTATGGTTTAATGAATTATTAGCCATCACAAACCCCAATCTGGGAAACCCTGGTCTACTGTACATGATCATGGAAAAGACATTTGTGACCCGGTATACCATTGTGATCAAGCCGACACCCTTTCTCACACTGACTGTTCTACGTGCATCATATCACAGTATAACACCAGGCTGCGCATGTGCACCGCTCAACACGCAACCAGATCCCAGCAGAAATGATGACGAAGCTGATTATGATGCATACAGTCTGGGAGGCCTCGTCAGCTAATTGTGTTTGATGCTGCGGCTGATCATTGAGGCCAAGTGTCAGGTTGCGTATTAAAAGAAACAACATTTTCATCAGGAGAGCTTGCTAAAACCATTCTGCCATTCTGCTCCCTTTGAAGTGGGCTCATTGAAGTCCCCTTGAAGAAAGTGGTAAGCAAAATGCTGGCAAGAGAGCACACAGCTGTACCCATCGAATGGAAAATAGCAACTGGGATTAAAGAGCCACTGCACAGATGGCCGGCAGCCAGATCCAACTATGCTAAAATCACACAGAGTTAACAATTCACACATTGTGAATTACGGAGGATTCAGAAACAGTGTTTTTTATTTATTTTTGTTTGAAAGACTTATTGGGAATTATTGGGAGGAAAGGGGGAAATGTTGCAGTGCAGATCCAAACCTATTTAAACAACATAAGCGCCATAGCTCAATAACACATCATGAGCACATGGACAAGAAATTATGTTTTAATTGGTAGTGCCCAGTTCGGTACACAAGTGCTTCCTGACTGACCGACAGTTACTTTCAAATGCACACATGCTTATGTCTGTGCATCATATGTAAATAATGCTTGTTCCTTGTTGTGATGTGTGAAAGGTCAACTGCAGTTATTGTCAGGGTTATTAATGCAAACACAAGTGGTTTGTCATGAGTGAATGCAAAAAAGAGAGAAAATCTGATTTGTGTCAAAATATTGAAATATTGTGTCTAATATATAACACCAAGGCAATGGCATTGTTTTTTCATGCAATACTCAATTTAGAGATTTTGGGTTCCATAACGTCTTCAGACGAGTGGAAAGAAACCACCCAAAATACACATTTAAGTGTTTTTTTTTTGTTTTGTTTTTTTTACACTTTGTCTATATGTGTTTTGTAGATTTCAATTACAGTACATATCTTTAAAGGTCAAAATGAGAAAATGAGAAATTTTTTCTCATGCGCTGAGCCAGAAATCTCCACTTCAGTAGCACTTACATACATACTCTGTACATACTTTTTCAGAGGGGTTTGTTCATAAATCATTTTCCTGATTTTTTTCCCCCTAAAAATATGATAAAAATGTTATTTCTTTACTGACTGTTGACAGTTATTATTAATATATATATATATTTTTTTTTTGTTTTTTTTTTGTTTATATATATTTTAGATTTATATATATATATATATATATGTAACATTTTAAAAATATGTTCTATCCAGTCACATAAGCATCACTTTACATTAGGACCCTATTCACCAGTGGTGTTTAGCCTTATTTTATTTCTTTGTTCCCTATTGCTGACTGTTTACCAATACTTGCTTGGAAAAACTTGCATTTTTTAATATTTATTAATATTTGACTTAATGAAAGAAGTATGTTCAGTGGCGTATTAATATTTTATTTGTAAAATATCAAAATAATTAATATAATACAATTCATGTTTAAATATTTATTTATATATTATGTAATCAAAAAATAGCCATGACATGTAGTCCACACAATAACATTGTGATACTTTTGCATCATACCATAAGACATAGTATTGTGACAACCTTATTGTTGTCCAATGCCAAATTTTGGGTATTGTGACAATCCTAGTGCAGACTGTCAGTCTGTCAAACAAAAAAAAAATGATTTTGACCTCTGGCTCACTAAACACTTCTGACGTTTCAATGGCATGGCCTTCCTGCTACCAGTCCAGCTGAGCGACCAAACATAACACATGATGAACACATGTCGCTTTGCTGCATAGCTTTCTTTCTTGTTTATAATCTGTGTGATCATCCAGGGATTCTAATGTGTGGAACTATATTAATTTGTTTAGAGATGTACCATACCTTGCATTGATAGTATGCTCTGTTTCCTTTTCCTGTTTAGTAAATGACACAGAGGAACTAGGTTCTCTGACGACCCTCAACATCTCTGCTGACAGCAGTAAGCTGCACCTCCAGGATCTGGAAGCACTGAGCAAATATACGTTTTACCTACGGTGCTGCACACGTGTGGGCTGCGGACCAGCTGCCAGCGAGGAGCGCACCACTGTCCCTGAAGCGAGTGAGTACGAGTGGCAGCTGTTCAGGGGTGGGGGTGTCTCAAGGGAGTCAGCCTGTGGTATTCCAAAGGACAGGAAATCTGGCTCTCTGGCATGGATGACCAAGTTGCTGTTATGGGCATCGACCCGGCGAATGCAGGGAACATTATTTCGATCTCCCATCTCACCAAGCTTTTCATATGCCCATCTAAGCCTTTCTTTACAGCTAAACAATATCATAACAGTGTGCGACTGGGCTGCATTAATCACTGTCTTGGAAGACCAATCGCTTATTGATTTGGGGGTAAAAGCTTGCCTGCAAAAAGGAAGAAGAAATAATATGTTGCCTTTGGGGATGGAAATGTTGGATTGCTATTAATACAGACATAGAAATAAGTTGGTAATCAACATCAAAAAAATATATTAAAAGAAAAACCACACAACTGTGAATTTACAGCACATTTATCATGATTAATGGTGCAAGCCACCATACTTATCATCGGCAGTTAGCAGATTGTTGATAAAGTGCTGTTTATTTCCGTTTCGCTGAGGGTTCATAAGGAAGTTGTGTTTACGGAAGAAATATGATCGAGATGAAAATCCCAAGGCATAATTCCAGTATTCGGCAGAGTAATAGAAAACAGTCAAGAAAACAAATGACTGCTCTGATGTGAGGGGAGATATCTTTATGTGTCAATGGGAAACAACTGCCTAAACATGACCAGTATGCATCAAGAAAATCAGCTGATTTCAAATACAGTTAGTAAAAAGTGTTTCATTTAAGTGCAACTTGGAGTATAAGATAGATAATGTTTTATTTTAAAAGTATCATGGTATTTCTGCACATTACCATGACAATACCATGTTTTTTGGCCTTGAAACGTGGTGAAACTATTGTATTCTTTGAAGTAGCTTGGCTTCCATGTACATACCATAGTAAATTAATATGTCTAATATACAATATCAAACAATACTGCCAAAAAAAAATCTTAAGTAAAGATACTACAGTCAATTTTTTTCTTTTTTTCATGCATTGGTCAGTTTTGAGATTTTGGGCTATTTTGCATCCATAACATGTATTCTTTTAGACTAGTGTAAAGAAAACATCCAAAATACACATTTAAGTGTACAGTTTATCTATTTGCATTTGTATATTTCAGTTACAATTGCAGTTTAAAAGTATCATGGTATTTCCATGTATTTCTGGACATGTTACCATGGCACTATCCTATTTTTGGCCATATATATATATATAGTAGGGAAAAACGGACACATTCTTTTATCATGGTATTTGTATGGAAATTAAGGTATTTCAAAGAATGTTTCGTGGCCAAAAATAGGATATTGCCATGATAACATATCCAGAAATACATGGAAATACCATGATACTTTTAAACTGCAATTGTAACTGAAATCTACAAATGCAAATAGATAAACTGTACACTTAAATGTGTATTTTGGATGTTTTCTTTACACTAGTCTAAAAGAATACATGTTATGGATGCAAATTAGCCCAAAATCTCAAAACTGACCAATGCATGAAGAAAAAAAAAAAAATTTGACTGTAGTATCTTTACTTAAGATAATTTTTTGGGCAGTATTGTTGTTTGATATTGTATATCACATACCATGGTATTTCCATCTGATACATAAAATATGCCTTTCAAACCCATTCTTTAATAGTTTCATATTTCTGGTGTGACATTTAAAAATATGACATCGTATTTTTAAATACTTTGGAATGGAATTTTCCAAGCTTCTTGCTATTGCATTCTCGCTTTAATGCTTCGGTAACAGGCACTGCTGTCTTATAAACAAGCTGTCTTATGAACTAAAGTTGTCGTGATTTCAGTGTCTTTCTGTCATCCTTGCAATATGTCTTTTTCATTGCTTTATTGCTTTTGTTTTGCCAGCTTCAACAGATATGGCCTCTTTCAACATCAGTATGAAGTCTTCTGTTTTCCTTTGCACTAGAAATAGCTAACACACTAGACTAGAGGATAAAATTGTAGCTGTATTGTATTGTAGGACTCTATCTTGAAAATGCATGTGTACTCAATTATTTTTCATATAACAGCATAATGCTGTTTTAATTAATTAATTAATTTATTTATTTTTTTATTTTTGCCCTGTCCTTGTGTGAGTCTAGCTGACAGTACACGTCGTCCATAGATGGTTGCTAAATTAGATAAATCTCACTATTAACCTGTCATCTTCTCTACTGTATGTTGGTAGCTGAAGCTAATTGATTGATTCCATTTAATCCCATTCAATCCATTCACAAGATTTCTTGGTTCAGCTAACACAGACCATTTTTATATTTCATTTAGTACTCGCTCACTTAGTACATCACATGGCTACCTCTTTCTTAGCCACATCACTCCCTTACAATAGTTCAAACCATTTAAAATACTGTCTTTCTTTTCAGGAAAATCCGGCTCACAATTTCCTCCAAGAAAAACCACTGTTTCCCCTGTGGCTAATGCTACTCTTTCTTCCATAGGTACTAAACCACACAAAAACAAGTCTGAAAAAAACAAATAAGAAACAATTTGGGCTTTTATGCTAGTACACTCTACAAATATTCAGTTTTGTAATAATAGAAACATATTCAAAAGTTTGGGGTTGGTAAAATTGTTTTTTTAATGTTTCTGAAAGACGTCTCTTACAGTATGATCACCTAAGTTGCATTTATTTGATCAAAAATACAATAAAACAGTAATATTGTGAAATATTATTACAGCTGTTTTCTATTTTAATATATTAAAATGTAATTTACAAAGCTGAATTTTCAGCATCACTACTCCAGTCTTCAGTGTCACATGATCCTTCAGAAATCATTCCAATATGTTGATGTGATGCTCAAGAAACGTTTCCTATTATTGTCACAGTTTTTTATATTTTTTTGAAAACTGTGATATAATTTTGGGATAAATAACACAATTCAAGTCTTTACTGTCACAATTGAATGCATTCTTGCTTAATAAAGTATTAATAGATATTTTTAAAATAAGAAAATAAATGAAAATCTTACTGACCCCATACGGTAGTGTATTTATGGATGAAGTGTCAACGTCTGATTTGTTGGGACTTATCAGAGGACTGAGGAATAGTGCTGATGAAGCACAGAAGGAGCTTTTAAATGGATAAGAGGAAGCCGTTTAAATTCTGTTACTAAATTTTCCCACAAAAGAGGCTTTCGGGACTAGACTTGCAGGACTTGTGTGGCACGAACTTTCCTCCCTCCCACTGTGGCAGCAGATGTGGACTGACAAACCTCCAGCTAGCTCGCTCAATATTTATAGCACCATTTCTATGTCAAGCAAAGGTGTCACACCGCACCGATGATTAACGCAATTTCTACAATAACAGTGTGGATGGAAACGCATCACGATTAGAGGATGTCATTCAAGCATGGGGCGATGGGGAGGATAGCCGCAGTCCTTCAGTGCAGATGGATTCCTGAAAAGAGCCTGAGAATAAATGTGTTCCATTTGCATGTTTTGCCCAATGGGAGAGGTGTTGTGTGATTGAGATGTGTGGTAATGAGTTTTGACAGCAGACAACAGTCTGCCTAATTGCTACACCTGAAGGTGATGAAAACACAAGTTATCTGTGATTGATATAGCTCCGGTGGCACGCCATGTAGGTAGCAATTGTCCAAGTCGAACACTTTTGGCTTCCTGAATAGAAACAGTGTACGCTGTATTCAGGTGTTTCTGCAGCTCTCAGAATTTAGTGACTGCGTAATTACTACTCTGCGACTCTGTCTAAAATTATCTCTTATTATTTCTACTTATTTCGCCCAGTGTAACGAGCACATCATTATTTCAGGTCGTTAATTAGTCATTTAATTACAGAAGACTCACAGCTATGTTTCTGATGGAAATTAAACCACACTCTTCTATTCATTCTATCATCTGAAGATCTGCCATTTGTTTGTCATCCCATCACTTTAATTTCTTTACACTGTGTCCTAACCAGCCGCGACACTTGGGTTTCCAGTGACAAGTAATTAGTCTGACCACAATGAAAGTAACAATGCTCTGTAATGCAACAAACTACCAGCCAATCAAAACACATGTATTGTTCACATGACAAAATTACAGTAATTATGAGCTCCTAAGTAGTAAAAAATGCCTTTGTCAAAGTGGTAATTGTTTTGCATTAGTTTGGGCGCTCCAGCATTTCTTACTTCAATGGTTATGTCATATACTAGTAAAATATATTTATTTATTAAAATATATCTGTATTAAAAAACACATAATTTTCCACATACTGTACATTATTGTTTCTCCTCTATGCCCCGCCTTTCTGAAACTCGTCCATTTTTACAAAGCTCATCGGTCTGAAAAGCGAGGTGTACGCTGATTGGCCAGCTATCTAGTGCGTTGTGATTGGCCGAAT